ATTACGTTTAGAAATGTGCTGTTTAAACCTTCTCTTCGTTAAACAGAAATTGGGGGGGGAAATAAACAGGGGGCCTAATAATTCAGGGGGGCTAATAATTCTGACTTCAACTGTATGTATATATATATATATATATATGTATATATATATATATATATATATATATATATATATATATATATATATATTTTTTTTTTTTTTTTTTTTTTTTAATGTGTTATTATTTTTATTCTTAAAACTACAAATGACATTTTATCCAAATATAAAATTTGACATTTGTTCAAAATAACATAAAAATGTATGTAATATTTTCAGAAATGATTTATTCATTTTTAGACAACACACAAGCAAATAAATATGTAGTAGAATTGAAATCACAGGCAATGAAATGAATTGATCAGTTGTCATTGTATTGTTAAATTACTGTCAATGTTTCCTTTTCATTAAGTGCTTTAAGACTTCTAAATTTCAGCGTTTCCTTTAAGGGAAAATGTGCTGTAAATCTTCGATAAGGCATATTAGCTTATTACAATTGTGCCGAGGCAGTGGAATACAGAGAGATGGAAACTCTATGGGAATGGGCATCATTAGAGCCAAGCGCTCCCTTGGGCCCCACAAACTTTAAATAATTTGCAAATCAATTAACTGGCAACTCTCAACATAACAAGGATTTCACACCCCGGGGTCAGGCCACATTATCAGCTCTGGAGGATTCATGGCATTTTAGGAGAAAAGTTCATGCTTGGAATCATTAATACATTTTACAGGACTTTCAGTTATACATTAGTCTGCCCGGCTTTGAAAGCCAGAAGATTAATGTCATGTTCTTCAGTATGTCTATGGCCATATATAGCCAATAACAGAATGCCTTTTTACCTTGGTTACTGTCTTTACCTTCAAACCAGGGAAGACTGCCAAGTGTATATTATGTATAACTCTTCTGAAAATTAGATAAAGCACATCAAGCCTTCAAAAGGACCAAATATCCAATAAACTTTAGCAGAGGTCCCTGCCCCGGCCGTGACAGCGTGTTGTTGAGATGTTAGGTCATATTGGAGTGATTGAAGGAATATTGCTGATGATCAATGGGTCTTGGGCTAAGCTTGACTACATCAGTTAAATGCGGCACGGATAAACAGCATACGCACAAACAGTAAACGTATTACACTGTGCTTTGATATGGTACACCTGTATGCGTGCGGAAAAGCCACAAACCAGAATAGGATGCTGCTGGTGTCGCCAAAAAATCCTCATGAGAACTAATAAGAAAACGAATACCCGAAATACGTCAGCGAGGATCTCGACCATCGCAGATGTCTGAAGACCTTAGAACTTCCTTTCATGACAATAATTCGATTTCCAACAATTAAATCTGATTCTAAATTCACACTGATGAAATTTTATGTTCCACTGGGCATTTCGGGCAGAATGAAGGGAGCAAAGATTTATTTATTTTTTTCTCAATTAGGTTGATGAAATTAAAATGCCGACCCCTTATTGAACAGCCTCTCTGATAACAATCAAAGAAGAGGGTCAGTGGAGAAGTGAAGCTGGGGAGAGGCTGCTAATAGATGGGAAAATAACCACCAAAAGGTTATTCATTTTCATTAAGGGTCCAGGAGAGCATTTTTTTGCAGGAAATAATTTCTGGAGACATGGGTCCCACAGAGACATCAACACTGAGACATGCTAAATGTGAAATGAAGGAAGGCTCCGGCAGCTTTATTAGATGAATGGCACACACTGACAAAGAGTGTATTCTGCTTGTTCAAACAGATGCCGTTGCCCCTTCCTCAGGTGTTTCCGACTGATTTTGCACACGAGTGATTTAACGCGGGGCATATGTGTGCCCAAATTACTTACTGCCTCATTTTGTGATTAATTAAACACGCAGATTAAAGTTGCAAAGGAATTTAGATTAATAGGTGTTTGTTAAGCCTGGTTTATACTTGACGCGTCTGCTAGTTCGATTCGCGCAGCGAATGTGGCGTCATCACAGAGTTTGCTTTTTTTTGCTTTTATTCTTGCCATAATAAAAAATATATATTTGTAGAGCAACCCATCTTCTGTCGTCATTGATAATTTAATAAACTTTAACAGGTAAAACTGTCCGAGATATTAACAAAAGCAAGTGATGCATCAAAGTTTGATTTTTAAAAATCTTGGATGGTTATAAAAATGCTTATAATAGTTAAAATAATTTTTAAAAATGTAAAAAAAAATAATTGGTTTAAAAATCTTCAATAATATTAATGATATGACGTAGTTCCGGAAACTTTTTATTTTTAGTTTCTTTTGCAGGGCATGTGCAGGAATACTAAAGATTTCAATACCTTGTGTTTTTAACGATCTTCTCAGAATATTTTAAGACATTATCGCCACTTCAAGTTCTAATCAGTATAATTTTTTTAGCTTAATAAACAGTTGTTAACAAATAGTTGTAGTTAAATAAATCAATTGAGCAAAAACATGCAACAGAACTCATATAAGCTCGGAAAAAACAAAGCTTGGAATAATAAATTGCACAGTTGTTTTCAGCGACAGACTTCAGCCAACCTGTCTCTCTCCAGCCTCTAACCAGGAGTACGCAAACTTACATTTTCCCATTTTGCCGTCTGTTTCATCCTATGGTTTTGCTAAATGTGGAGAGCGTCACACCACGTTTGTCACAAATTACGTGACATCACCCAGGTGGAAGAGCTTGGCCGGATACGCCCCAGCCCGAACCAATTGCATAGATCGAGCACGCCGTTGTTAATATTAGAAGAAAAATAAATATATTTATGCTTTTTTTTTAAGTCAAACAATGGACAACGCTTGAACAAAAATTAATTAAGACTTTTTAATATCTTTTAGGGGCTTTTATTTTCTCATAATTTATTTATCAACTTTTAATAGTTTTTAAAACCCCGCGGACACCCTGTTTTGACTGCCCCCTGTTGTTTTAAAAATATCACAACGGCAAACACATTAAGTATAAAAGCCTCGGCTGTTTTGTGACGTGCACGCACAGACTTTGGAGGTCCGCAACGCGGTGCCTGGCTTAAGGTCTCATAGGTCTGGTAAGCACGGGGGCTATGGAAGAGGAACGATTAACAGGGTCATTTATTCCCTTTCTCAAGCTTTTAAAAGTGTGGAAATTGTGAAATGAAAAAACACACTGGGCATTCAATTTTTCTTTAACACATACGGACAGTTTTAAAATAATGCATCTTTCTCTGTAAGCTTGACCTTCACGTCAATAGCATTTAAACGCATTTTGCATTGAAATGTCAGAAATGTGTTTTGAAATCAAAAAGTCCTTTCAGACAGTCGGTTTATACACTTGCTTAAAATTCCCCTTTTTTACTTTCAAGATAAACTTTTCAATGTCTATTACTACAAAAATATAATAATAATTCCATTCAATTTTCAATAAGGACAAAAAAATAAATGTTGGCTCTACCACAAGCATTCGCTCGCACCCACCAACTCACATCGGTCTAAATGCTGACACAATGCCAACCTGATGTACAGTACAAGGCTTACACTGTTACCCTCAGTGCTGGAGCAGGGCCAACGCATAGGCCTGATGTTTACTGTTCTAACTCAAGTGGTCCTTTCACCTTCATTCAGCCTAACAATCGGCGTTTCATTCCCTAAAAAGAGAGCTGACCCTGTGACATATCAATGTTAATATCAGTGTTCACAAGGGCTAAAACGGGCCCAGTGGCAACACAGAACATGTAACCTCATCCGAAATGTTAAGAACACCACACGTGGCACCTCGGAAACCGCTGGAAATTTGCTTCAAACATTTAACAGCAGCACACCGACCACCAAGCAAGGTTTATAAAAGAAACGAGACTGGTTTTATTACATCCAATCATATCAGAACGCATGATCTTCCTCTACTTCTGAATGGCAGCAATATTCACACTCTCCCCTCCGGAGTTACAAGTTGTGCAGAGAAAAGCCGTAATCATTCCCGGCCCCTTTGTTATTTCTCCATTCAGCGATCTGACTCCGTTTCCTCTGACAGCCATTGAGCGTGGACTTAACGCACACTACAACGGCAGCTAAAATAAAAAGCGGCTGCCCTGGTGTAATAGAGCGTATTGATCTGAGCTGAAGACGCTGTTTGACTTGAAATCACAGGGATAAAGCTGCTGCATTAGCGCGCGGCCCTGAACTTTGAGCTGGAATATGCCATTCTCAGTGGCCTAATTATGCAGGGCCAACAGTGGGGCTTTCTGCACACTAATATAACTCTGTCCTGCACCTCATATCGAAGTGACATTTGAAAAAAGATTAATATGAACTTAACTTTCAGGAAGCTTGTTTGCTCAACATTACCAAGAGCAACACTTTGCCAGATATGATCTTTATTACTACGCTGGCAAGAGAAAACTCCCATTTAAGACATATTGTGGCAGAAAACTGCGGCCGTATATTGACTGTTTACTAAGACCCTGTGTGTGTGTGTTTCTTTAAAAGGGGCTCTTTCTTCATTGCCGTGAATGCTCTTATTGAGGGCAACTGGCAGCCAGAAAGTACCAATAACATAGTTGGTATTAGCATAGAGAATAGATTCACTCTATACGCACCGATGGTAGTGTGTGTTTGAGCGGAACGTGGACGTAGGTGCTAACAAGCAAATCGGTTTTCAAAATGACTACTTTATACATTTTCAAAGTGACAAAACAGGCATAATCTACATACTATTATTGATATGTCTTTTCTATAAAGTCTCTCGTGTTGTCTCTGAAGCAGACTTCCAAGAAAGTGACACAGAACAGAACACTCATTATTATAATCATTTGAGTAAAGCCACCGCTTCCTGAGTTGATGAAGCATGTACAGTGGTTTCATAAGCTCATAGCATAAAAGCATAAAGGGATAAGACAGCAGAGACCATGGTATATATATATATATTTAAAAAAACAGGTGTTAATGGAGCAATGATAGAACAAGTGGAGTTGGACAAGACACATAAACCACAATATAGAGTTTGTACTTACATAAACAGAAAGACTTTATCCCCAGCTCCCAAAGATCACTGGTGAGTTGATTTTGAATTCATGAAAATGACCTACAACAGAAGACATGAAGCTGAATTAGGATGTGTACTGAAATGACAAGTAGAAAAATAAATTTGCTTTACAGGTGACGTATTTAAGGAAATTAGGCACTTTTCACCATGGTGCACAATTTCTTGAGGGTCCCCACTGGGTCTTAAAAAGTCTTAACTTCACTGTAATATTGTCTTGAAGGTCTTAAATATAAAAAAAAAAAAAAAAGGTCTTAATTTTCCTTGTAAAGCAATCAACAATCCATCTCAAGAAAAAAAATCCATCTTTTATTTTTTTTTTATATTTAAGGTTTTTATTGCAAAGAGAAACTATTTAAAATAGCTGTTCCACATTTTACAGCAATTTCTCTAAATTTAATTTCCCAATCAGGGAAAGAAAACTAAAAACAAATAAACAATTCCTCATGATAATAACAGAGCAACATATCACTTTGCATGATACATTATAACAAATCAATTTGGACAAAAACACAACAAATGTAAATTTTGATAATTTATGTCATTGCCTCCATAATAAATAAACTTTTAACAACTTGTCATTAAAAAAAAGAAATATTATGTTGAAAAAAAAAGTGTATACAACTAGAGCAAAGTGGCCCATGGTAACCTTTATTTGGCCCGTCATCCCATCTGAGAAGAGAGAAGGAATGATGGGGAGGGTTTCGAGAATGTCAATTCAAATTGAATGTAACCTTTTGTTTGTTTGTTTGTTTGCTTGTTTTTTCAACAAAAGCTAAATATTTCAATTAAATGGTTTTAATTAATTAGATTTTGTTTAAATGCACATACTGTCACCTGAAAAGGCAAAGACTTTGGCGATCAAATCAAGGTAAAGTCAAATTCTGATTGACTAATGTGTTCAGCATTGAACTCCACTGTGTTATAATCTTAATTGTTTATGTATTTTATCGCAATAGGTTGTATTTAAAAGCTTAAACTGCACTAGTTAATATAACTTAAAATAATGTTTTCCATTTATTTTAAAATATTAGGAAATAAATTAGAAAATTACCCATGGCAAATTTATGGAATATAGTTTGGTATATTTATTCTCGGCTTGTAATGATATTTGGTTTTTGGTCCTTCATGCAAAAAAGTTTTCTTGTGAAAACAAGAGTTTTCTTGTTTTGACATTAAAATTTGTCGCTAAGAAAAAATTACATTTGTTTTTTTCTTTTTTTGTGGCAACTGACTGGGCCATTAGAAATAATCATTGGGGTTTAGCCTTGTATAAGTATAAAATTTAATTCATAATGGTCTTTAAAGGGTCTTAAAAAGTCTTAAATTTGACTTGATTAACCCTGCAGAAACCCTGTACTTTAGTAAACGAATGAAATTGAAATGCAAATGTAATATTTAATCATTGAATTCTTAATTCTTGCTTTTTTTGCATTCAAATTCAAATTCATGAACTGCAAACTTTTAAGAACACTGAAAATGTAATTACTGAGAATTTCTCAAGTGGTTGAAATGTAGTTCATTTCTGAGATGAATATTCATAACCAACAGCATTCAGTCTTACGTGATCCTTCAGAAATGATTTTTCATTACACGATTCGGTCCTTATGAAATAGCAATATAAAACTCTTTACTGCATTTACATAAAGTATTCATCGCTTTCAAACTCAAAACCATTCATCAGCTAAAAAAACAACCCTCAAACTTTTGAACTTGCATGCGCACACATAAGATAGTAGAGAAGCAACAACTAGGCAGAGGAACAGACAATCATGCGAGAGGATGTCAGAGGAGTGAATTGAAGTGAGGCTGCTGGCAGGCGGTCAGAGTCCCAGCAGATGAAGTTAAACAGTCGTACAACCTCCAGTTACTCTGCTCTCTCCCTGAGGGACTCAATCCTAGACAATGTTTAGAGTCCACTTCTCTAATACCTCATTAATCTGTCCCTGCACTGTTTGATTCAACTAATAAATGGCTTTCATACAAAGCACTTGTTTTCTCTAATTCCTCTCTCTGCAGAGCACTAATGATTTATTTAGTTACACGCTCGGCTAGTTCTAGCAGGTCTTCTGAGGTCCTCCAGCAACGTCAGCACCACCAAAGAAACACAAACAAACAGACGGTGCACCAAAACCGCCGACAACACCGAGTTTCGCCATTATCCCACCATATGTCTGGCGGTGCGCTTCCTCTTCACGTGACGGGAGACGTTGTTGAGAAAGAGAGCGCCGATGTTCATTTCTCCACATTATTCTGTTTTTCACAACAAGCAGGAATCTCATTACCAGCTGATTTATGCAATTAGCCTGCCTCGGCATCACCAATTAAACAAGGACACAGGGGTTTGAGGTCACAGCTAATTGATCCGCCTGCAATTTGTGCCAGAGCCGAAATCTGCCCTCCCGCACCAGAGAACTGAGTCAAACACGTAGACAAAGTAAACGGCTGTGTGGGAGGGTGGGTTAATAGAATAAACTTCAAGATCTCTGGTCTCCAAAGGATCTGAATGTGGCAACCTTGAGGCTGAAGGTGACAATGGGAGAAAAGAGGCAGGAGGTCTGACCCTCGTGTGAATGGAAAGCTGTTGTCATCTTAATAGCACCTCTAAGCTGACAGTCTATTCCACATTCTCAAAGGACCATGCCACTGGCCTGACTGCCTCCAAGTTCACACTACACACACACACACACACAGAGTGCTCACATACATCTCTTACAGAGTAGTGCCTGCTAGCTTTTGTGCCACACACACAAACCCTTGACAGCGGTGGTAATTCTATAAACGCTTTTCTCTTTGTAAGCCACGCAACATCTAACTAATTTCTGTTGTGCTTTAATAAATACAGGGCTGTTATAATTGCAGGGGGCCAAAAAATAAAAAGTAATTTAAAAGTATAATTGGATTCTAATCGAGTAAAATGATGAAAGCAACAAGCTTGAGACAAAGAAAAATATGTAGTATATATATATATATATATATAATCACAGCATTAATCATAAGACGCAATAATATTGGGAAAGATTGAAACAATGCTGTAAGACCTGCGATGTATGAACGCCAGTGGCAGTGGATTAAGCAGGACTTTCTAATTGGACGATCATGAATTCATTAAACAGAGTTCCAATCAGCACCAGCCTGTTTTTATTAGTCACCCAACAGTTTTATTACCAATTCATTGTGTCCGCAATTACCGCTGCGGCTTTCTCACATGGCGAGCTCTGTTTTCACTCTCTTCTTGACAATGACTGCAGTGATGAAGTAGCTGCGGTTGTACAAATGGGGGATGAAATAAAGAGAGATGAAGAAAGGAAGAACTGTTCGAGTAGCCCAGCGTCTTGGCAAATTACTAGACGAAAAGCTAAAGCCCATTAAAGCCCATGAGGACAGACTAGGGGGCACCCGAAAATTAATGATAGGTTTTCCTGTGAAATAACCTTTAGTCATACGCCGCGCTGCTTCAGATGAGGAATTGAGCCATTTAAATGAAAACAGATTATTTCTTTATTTAATGTGCTGAATTTTTTAGAAGGGTTAAGTGGGGTGCTTCGGGCTCACGTTGGTGAGGCCAATCCATCGACCATGACAGTGACTCCAGCTACACCCTCCAACAAACACACTACCACAAGCGGACTCCAAAAGCACGAGCCAACCAATACACACACTCACGCACACACACTGGTCGTGATATAAGATCAGCGTATTAAGAGATCTTCCAGAAATCCTTCATTCTCTTTCATTCGATCGTTTTCATTCTCGTAGCCAGACAAATACAAGAGTTCGGATGCCTCTTTCATCTTAGTTGGTGAAGCACTGTTCTTTATATTTCACTCAAGAAGAATCAGAATAAAAATCCTTTCAGAAATCCGATGACCCTTGAAATTCCAGGCATGAGTTCATCTTCAGTAGGTTCAGCTGATTAAATCAATCCTCTACATAACAGCGCTGTGTCTTTGACCATCACATGACGATGCTTGGAATCAGTGACTAACCTCACATTAGCAAAACATGCCAACTTGTTTTAAATACATTTGCAAAAGTGGGAGCAATACAGTAGCGTGCTTTACATAATATGCTGCAAATGTTTACTGATAAGAGCGGTTTAAGAGGCTGAACTGGGAGGCAAAGTGGTTCAGATGGGTCAAATGTAGATGAAATCCTTCATCTCTCTGAGCGTGGACATGCTGCACTCTCCTAAAGGGAGGGAGCATTTTCATTTGCATCAATTTTGCTTGAGCTTTCTTCTGATCCAGCAACCTGCAAGAAAATAAAATCACTTTAAATGTCCTATTTCCCCCAGTCCAGAACATGTTAAGAGGGGATTTAGAGGAAGTAGTTACTGCCACAAAAGAGGCAATATCCCCCATCAGCAGGACGGTCTCTTACCTGGTGGAGGACAGGTTATCTCTGTACTAACAGCAGGACCACTGACGGGGTCTGGAGGATATAGGAGAAGCGGCGGGGGTGGGTTAAAAGCCGAAAGACGGGCAGCTCACACCCAGCGGTGGGCGGAAGAGCAAAAGATGTAAAGTGCTGTTTTGTCAGATCCAAAAATCAACTAGTGCGCACACACAGCTGACAGATCTGCGCGTGTAAAAGCACGGTACCAGATATTAAGTACAGATGTAATGGCTGTGGGCCATTCACAAATGATTTGAGAAATCCTATTGAATTCCAGTTTGATTGGTGAATTTGAATCATTCATTCGTTCATTTTCTTTTCAGCTTAGTCCCTTTATTAATCTGGGGTCGCTACAGCGAAATGAACCGCCAACTTTTCCAGCATATATTTACACAGCGGATGCCCTTCCAGCTGCAATCAATCAATGGGAAACATCCATACACACTCATTCACACACATACACTACAGATAATTCAGCTTACCCAATTCACCAGTAGCGCATGTCTTTGGACTATGGGGAAAACCGGAGCACCCAGAGGAAACCCACGAGAACACGAGGAGAATATGCAAACTCTACACAGAAACTGACCCATCCGGGGATTGAACCAGTGACCTTCTTGCTGTTAGGCAATTGTGCTTCCCAC